TTAAATATTTTTGACATGACGATTGGCAAGTATATGGAAGGATGGAAGGGAAGGTAGGAGATTAACGAGATATTCAGTCAGACACGTTCAAAAAATAAACTTACTTTATTTTTTTTACAAAATTGTAGCATTAATGATGACGATGTCATAATTTTTCAGATATCTGAAAATTATGACACTATTACCATTTACCATTACCAAACAATCTGGATTGGCGTGAAAATGGTAGGGGATGAAGGGCTACCACAACATATAACTTCCTTGATCATCTCACAATAATCTTTAAAGTTCCTAAATATTTTCGAACGTTCTAGATTATTGTCAAATATTTCATCACATTCCAGGATGTTCTGTAATTTTCTGAAATATTGTGGAAAGTTTTCAAATACTATCGAATGTCCTGGACTGTTCCAGAACTTTCTAGAGAACAAAACTTCCAGTATATTTAAGAAACGGGCAAGCTGATGTGACAGATCATATGTTCTATATGCCTTTCTGAATCTGTTTGCAACCAAAACCCGATAATCTCTGAACAAGAAAAACTGCAATTTAGGAATCTATATTCAATATTCAAATTGATAGTGTTCAAAATCCATTTAACTTTTGCATAATTTGGAAAAAGTTTTGATGGCATTTCAAAGCTATATATCTTTTCAACGAATGGATGGATTTCCACAGGTAAAGCAGTAATAATTGACAGTGACCCGATGGTCGTTTATGATGAATTTTCACCCCATCTTTCCCCATTCCCTTTGAAAGTGGGAAATGAAACCCCCGCATAGAAGTCTGGAATTTTTCCAGTAGTTTTGTCCCAACTTGAGGTGGTTTCGAATTTTTATGGAAATGTCTTGCTGTATATTATCGATGGCAAAGACATATTTCCAAATAATATTATATTGGTATTGACGATAACTGTAAATGACATTTTCGCACGTTGAATGTTTAAAAACGGATTAATACACCTCTGTCGAAAAATATGTCCTCTCAGATGAAAGCCACCCACGAAACAATCGTCGAATATATATTTTTCACAGTTCTCTTGACGGCACGCGAACAATCTTTGCGGAGATCTGCTACACGACGCCAGAATTCTATTGTAAGATGTCTCAAACACATAAAATATAATCGCCGTTTTCTTTCAGATGGTTTTGTCACTTTGATGACGATAACTACGTGAACGTCCCTCGCCTAGTCCGTTTTTTGGGGGATTACAATTTCAGGGATGAGTGGTATCTGGGAAAGCCGAGTATACAGGCTCCTCTGGAGATTATTAAGAAGGAGAAAAAAGTACTGGTGAGTTGAAAAATTGTTTTTTTTTCTAATAGAAACGTTTAAGAGAACATGAACACTGTATCCATTCGTTCTCAAGGTCACTCGAAGGTTTTGTAGTTCTTCCTCTAGATCTTCTGGTTCACATATTCTCCGAGTTCGTTCCGTTAGAGATCGTAGTTAGAAGAGAGGAGTCATCACCAGGCTCGGAGAATATGTGAATCAAAGCATCTAGAGCAGTGGTTCTTAACCTTATAGTCATGCGAGACCATTTGACAAAATTTCTGTCAGGCCATCGACCACCAAGTTTGTTAATTAGTTTGTAGTTATTTTAAAGTACCTTACGATAACTACAAATAAATACAGTACAGTACAGTAAATGAATGCAATGGTTGTTTTAATTCATCTATAAATAAAATACTCATAAAATTATTTAATATCGTTTAATCGTTAGGTAAAATCTGTAACTCTTTACTAAATTCTGAATCCTTTGTTTAGTGTTACTTAAACTCAAACGCTACTTGTTTTTACTTGTTTTTAATAATCAGAAGCGCCGAAAACCCCTGTTCACATAGATATGTCGAAGAAAATAAAGTTAGGCAATAGCAATGTCTCGAAGTTTTGGTAAAGAAATTGTCTTCTGGCTCCAAAATTCTTCAAGATTAATTCCTGATTCGAATGTATCTTTTAAGTTGCTGTCGTGTTGCATATCAATTACATCAGGCACCTCAGAAACGTTTACAATAAATGGATTGCGGATCAGTTTTTGAATACTTTTATCCTCGCGGTCGGGAAAATAGCGATTGAATTCAATATTTAAGTTTTTCAAATGTATTATCATGTTCTTTTGTATTTCTCCTTTAATTTCAGCACACTGACCATCAATAATTTGATTAAGCTTATCAAACACAGAAAAGTTATTACTTTCGACCTTGTTGATCCATAGCTCGATTTGAGCGATAAATGCACTGATTTTATCTTCATAAGCAAACATATTGCTCATGCCTTGTAACTTCAAATTTCCCGACCCTTGCAGTAGAAGGTTCAATTTATTTAGTTGCGCAAAAAATCGACCAAATAAGCAAAATGTATTTGAAATTTGGACTCGCAGAACTGATCAAACAACTCTTTGTTTCCTTGTTAGTTTAAAATATTTTTAGTCAGTTTTACTTAGTTCGTACAACCGCAACAACATGTTTCCTTTGGAAAGCCAACGCACTTCCGTGTGGAAAAGCAAAGTTTCATGTTCAGAGTTCATGTCAGAACACAATTGTTTGAAGAGACGAGTATTGAGTGCACTCTTTTTAATGAAATTTACTATTTTTATAGCTATTTTCATCGTCAAAGCAAAGCATTCTGGAAGCGTCTTGGCAGCTAGTGCTTGACGATGAATAACGCAGAACATCGTAATTGCAAACGGAGTTTTGGTTTTTATCAATGCTGCAAGACCAGAGCGGGAACCAAGCATAGCAATAGCACCGTCCGTACAAAATCCCGCAAGCCGTTCCCACATAAGTCCATGTTTCTCCATATATTGTCTTATTGCATCCATAACTTTTGCACCTTGCGACGTCGTTTCAAGTTCTTGAGAAAATAGCTTCCTCTCCCGCACTCAGCACCTCGCCCCTTAGGATACGTGGCGAGCGGCGGTTCGCGTTGTATCGTGTCGACTCATCTAACATATTTATTAGGATGGCTCCGCGGACCGCTTGGGATGCTTCCAGGGACCACCAGTGGTCCTCGGACCACCGGTTAACAACCACTGATCTAGGGGAAGAACTAGAACACCTTCGAGTTATCTTGAGATCGAATGGATACAGTGTACCCTGAATCAACAAAGCCGTGAAACGGAAGAGTCATACAGTTCAAAACGGAAAGAAGGCGCACATGGTTGCACGCGCGTATCTACCGTATATTCCTAGGGTCACAGACAAAATTGAAAAACTATTGGGGAAACACGACATTAAAAGGGCCTCACTATCAGCAGCAGGGGTTTATCGTATACCGTGCACTTGTGGGAAGGTATATATCGGAACCACCCAAAGATCCATGGGAAATAGGCCGAAGGAGCATGCAGACAACTCAGCTGTGGCAGATTACGCACTCAGTGAAGGAAACCACAGGATTCTGTTTGAAAACACAGAATTCAGAACGTATAAACCTCTGAAGAAGTTAGCCACTCGTGCCACCGACACGTCAGGAAGAAATTCCAAAAATCTACGGCCTTCGAACCCGAAAAATACTGACACCATCATCTACATATTGGATCCAAGTCCGTGGAAGTATTATAACCCCTCTTTTGCTTCCGAAGCAAATCTGAACGGGAACAGAGGCAATGGGTCTTACCGATTTGCCAGGTTTGTGAATTTTTTAAAAAAACAATCTGGTTGGAGAAACGCGTGCCGAGAAGAGTCTCGCATTTCTAGTGTTTGGGAACAGAACAGTATTTGTTTTGGATTCATTCTACGCCAGAGGTTCCAGTACTACCTTTATCATTATTCTGATTACTTGCTATTTGTGCAAAAGGGAATAAGTTTGTTTAAATGACCAAACTTTTTGATCGTTATGTTATGAACAAGAATATATTCGACCCGACCTTATTCGTTTGTAGCAATGAAAAAGCACAGTTTCTTATTCAGAAACTACTGAACATGTTTTCGTGAAAAACATGACTTTACCCCCTTTTGCCCAAGTAACAAGTATTTTTATTATTCATGAAACTTTCTCAACATAATTATTTTCAATATCATCAGCGTTCAAACTCTTATGTGATCACTTTTGTATATCATAAGGATTTATAATTTATAATTTATAAGAACTGAAAAATGCAGGGGTTATTTAATTTTGAGTATTCAGTTCTCAATTAATATTTTTCCTTCCACGGATCATTTCTCTATCAGCATTAATTGATGCTGTTTTGATTATCACATGAAATATATTACACTATCTTAAGGTAGCCTATAATTTTGGAACGTTCAATGGTAAACTGCAATTAAGAATGATGAACCGTATCGCGTATACCGTGTAATTACAGACATTAGTACCAACATTCTCTGCCAATCTGACTTGTAAAATGGTGGAACATTCACCGTACGTGGGTTCAGTAGCCGAAGTATTGAAAAATTGATACGATGTTGTTGAATTCTGGACAGAAAATATTTTTTTTATGACTGACTTCGTGATATTTTATTGCGGATTTATAGAATCAGAATATGTTGGTATTTATGTTTTTGAAATGATTGATAAAAGATCGGCTTCCTGGAATATACAAAAATGATTTCAAATATGGTAGAATAATTCAGAATCAAAGGGGGCATCGATAAGTTCACAATATTTTGTTTCGAATTAAAATTCATAACCCACAGTTTGCTTAAAATTTACTGATTTTATTCATCATTCATATAACTCATCAAAGGTTAATATTGTCTCCATATATGGAAGGTATTTTATCTGTAATATTATTAAGTCCGATTTTTCAATATCGGTTTGAAATATATTTCAAATACTATTTGGAAACATTGTATTTCATATCCTTTATGCTGATGCTCCTGATTGTTACCTGAAAGGTAACTGTCTGAAGATGCACATTTTTACGAATAGTACTTTTTGATCTGAAACATGCATGTCAAGTTTCTATGAGATGAATAATTTTCAAATTCCTTCGTTTCATCGAGAAATACTGTAAGTGTTTATTCCCATATTCTATAATTCATATCTTCTATTATATCAGAGACTTGCCAAATGCTCAAGAAGATTTTGAATCTCAATTTCAAAGCCTATAAAAAAGTCAAATTTATGATTGCAGTAAGTGCTAATTGTTAACCTTTCATGAAAAGTAACTTTTTTGAATATTCAAGCAACACTTCATTGTGTTTCACAATACTATAGTTTTCTCAGGCGTTTATTCATACTAACTAAATTCTTTAATATAACAATTCGAAACACATGACCTCCTACAAACTCTTAAATCTAATAATTTCCAAGCATTTCAAGTGATTTCATTCCAAACTTTTCTCTTCTGAAATTAACACGTTGTTATGGTGGAACTCGTGTTCCGCTGTCAAAAGATGTTGTCGAATCGGTCTTCATATTTACCAAACTTCTCCCATTCTATTTTATTCTTTATGAAAAGGTTCGCCCCGTTCATCCAATATGAAGTTTTGGACACGAACCGCAAGTCAACTTATGTAGGTACTCCTTGATCTATCAGACACTGAATTTTTGTCTTTGGTGTTTTTAATGAAGTTGCTCTAATTATCATTGGTTCTGTAAGCAAACTCCAAGTCTCTCTTCTTTAAGCGATGTTATTGGTGGTTCACCAAAATATGTCAATATCCTCTTACGCTCATTATCTTTTCTTGTAGTGGGATGAACCTCGTGAATAACATGTTTTCCTAGTTTTATGGATAATTTCATCGATAATATCTACCTTGTAATTTTGACAAGCAGTTTGTTTGATGAAACTGCTGTCAACAACGATAATGATAAAGTTCAAAGCTTAACATCTCAATATCAACCAATCCATTATTATTTCAAAATTGATTTTCCTTTCATTCCATATTAACACTTTCATTTTAAAAGACCCTTTATTAATCCTTCATGATATGACTCCTGATTAATTTCACTGAAACTTCGGAAAAATATTCTTGGGAACATGTTTGATAAAAATTTCATGACTAAAATTTGAAGAGAATTAGTGTAAGGTTATTTACGAATCTCAAATTCTGGCTCAAGTTTTGAATTCGAAGAGAGAAGACGAACCTAGCAGTTAGTAGAGGAAGCCCAAAACAATGGTTTCTACAGAAAACGAGGTAAAGCACAACAAGCGGTTCCCTGAGAAGGGAGGTGAGAATTGGATTCGAACGGTTTTGGGAAGATCAGTAGGCCAAACCCCCCTACAAGAAGGCGCCTTGATGAAGCCAAGGAGGGTCGAACAACTGCTGATTCAGGAAACGAGCAGCAACCTCTGGTGGGACGCCAAATGCAGTATGGGCATATGCATCCGAACTCACAGGAGGGCAGTA